CACGGGCGAATGATGGAAGAAAGGAGGTAACAACAGTGGAAGAGCAGCAGAGTGAGATGCAGAGGTTACCCTATTCACTGGCAGGAGATCGATTTTATGAAGAAAACTGAAGAGCACCGACTGCCAACTGCAGTCAACTCCTTCCGTTGCGACCGATCGATCCTCATCTATTTCGTGCGGCTCCACGGTTTGGCCATACTTAACCCGACAACAGTAGCTCTTACTTAGTACGATTCTTACGAGACTGCGCATCCTTGTGTATGGAGTTGATATCAAAAGTAGTCACACAAGAAAGGCTGGTTGCAATCTAACGCATTCAGTCAATGGGAATCGCGTTCTAGTACATGTGTGTCTGTACGTACCCTCCTCCATACTCATTCTGCTTTGAAAAGCTTCTCTACACTCCTTAGGTAGCGGTTTAGGCTTGTATGTGGTTTCTTCCACTAATGTAGGTATTCCAATAGGATGCTGTTGATGTTTTGTGCCATGGAGCTCCTCTCGAATTGGCATTTTGTCACCAACATCTCTTGCTCGGAGCCTCTTGCGCGCCATCTGAGATGGTTTTTTGGTTCCATTTGTGACCTCGCACCTCCCTGATTGGAAAGTAATTTCCACGATTGTAAACTGTTTAAATGTCAGAAATCACGAGAGTGGGGTTATATAGTATTCAGAGATAGATATATAAGATTAAAAATCGATTTTTCTAGTTAGAGCCTTGATCCGTGCGACACATTTGGAAAGTTGGCTGGCTTGTCTTGTTCTCTTGCAAATTACAAAAAATGAGAAATGGGCGCCAACCGTTACCGATTGCGTATCCCGGGTTCCAAATTGGAGCTCTATGTAGCCGATCGGCAGCAGAAATCTCGTGGAACGAGGAGCACCGTGCCTATTCTGGTCACATTTTCTTGCTAACTGTAGGCTAGATCTAGCTAAACGGACATGTCATCTAACCCAGAGGGGTCGCGAAGCCATAGAAGGAACTCCTCTACCCACTCAGACCTGGCTTGACTTTAAAATACATACAGCTTGGCTTTGCACCGATGTCTGGGACCACAACCAGTGGGGAGGCAATGGCATTCACATCCGCAAGGAAGAATCGCCGTTTTAGGACCTCACCCGTTTTCTTATCGACCTTTGCATCCTTATGGAGTGGTACAAACAGGTTTGACAGCATCACTTCCCTCTCTTCTGTCACCCAGTGTGCATTTTCTATCACTGCATAGGTCCCGTTTTCCAGTTGGATACCCCCGAATTTGGTTCTACGGGCATCAGGAACGTCATCAATCCCTTCCAGTGTCAAAAGCACTGGAAATGACCTGGCAGCTTCCCTATACCCACCATCCTCCTCATTCTCCCCAGTCAAACAAGGCCCAGTCCTCTCCACTTTGCGCCTCCTCTGAACTTGGGATGACCATAGAATATTTGGCCGTTCCGTTTGTGCTGAGTGTAAATTGGGATGCTGTATAGTCATCCATGTCCTAAACAAATCTTCCATTTCCTCCTGCAGGTCCAAAAGGAACTCAAGCAGCTCATCACCCACATTGACGGTCGACCTCTTCCACATCGCCCTTCTTTATATTCCTCTTCTTCCTCCTTGCGGGCCGCTATCTTCAACTCAATGCAATGAATCGGCCTGGTCCACATAAGTACACCTCCATCATGGCCTCCACCCGTCACAAGGTTCTTCCTGGTTGGCTACACTTTGGGTTCCTGGGTTGGTAGTCCTTCCTGTGGATTGGTACCGCTTTCCAGTGTGGAGGTTGAGGATTCGGAACCATCGTCGTCGCCTTCGGGAGGCAGTGGATCAAACCTCCCATAGTAATCACACAATCTCCGACCATTAATCTCGGCCATGGCCCACTCAACCAGTAGGAACTCTATCAGTCTGGTTGCCGTTGAAGTTGAATGTCAACAGGTTCTTTTGGGTGAGCTTGGCTGCAACTTTGGTTACTTTGTGGCCACTTTCGTTGCTTCCGGTGTCATGTTCTTGGGGACACCATACAAAAGGATATCCCTTGCCATGTGAATTATTGCGTGGAACTTGAATACTTTCAACCCCATACCCTCCGTTCGTCTGCAGATCTTGGCAAAGAGGTACATAATGAACCGATTCTTGCGCTCCAACCTCTTAACATCGGCAACCCTCATCTTTGGTTCGCAAAGGAAAGCTTCCCATTCTAGAAGCGACTCCACCAGCAACAACCAGTCTTTGACATACGCTTCTCCTGGAAATGCTTGTCTTGCTCAACATTTCACGCCTTGGGTGGATCTCAAAACAACAGCAATCAGTAACAAAACGCCTCGGTACTCATTGGCCATGAGCTCTTCTTCTGCTTGATTCCATGGGTGAATTTGCAATTGGGAAGGTCTCGTTCAGAGTTTGACGGAACAGGGCACCATATTCCTGTGCCAAAGCATCAATATCCTTAGCCAACTGTGAGTTGGGCCGATTTGGGCAAAGAAACACTCTTCACATACAAGAAGATACCCAGATGGATGGCATGGAGCATCTCGGAGGGCATGCACCATGAATTCCTGTATCATATTTCGGATCGAATCGGACCTTTACCAGGCGTTGTCAATGTACTGCTGCGGGATGGCTTTCAAACCTTCCAAGTCCTTTTGTCGATGAGGTCCATGATCATTAGATGGTCTTGGCTTCATGTTTCGCATTTGGGTCGTCAGTTTCTTCATTGGGACAGAACACAATATCGACACAGGTGCTCACATTGTTCCCCCGGCTCCTGTACTTTCCACAAAGCAGTTCTGCCTCATCGGTGTAGCCCTCACCATTGCAGTCAGAACACCAGCGTCTTGTTTCGGTAGAGCTTTCCTCGGTAAGGAAGGTCCATACCATCCCATTCGTCTCCAAGGGGATGTAGTTGCTCAGATGGTTTCAATTTGGGCATGGAAGTCTTGCGCTTTTGTAACTTTATTGGAGGTTCTCCTTCCCTACCCACAAACATACTTCCAAATCCTCAAGTGCTTGGTCATGACGAGAATCCCCAAACATCTTCTTTCCTCTGGATTACCTTCCGAATAGTTAACCACAAAGCCAACAATCGCCCAGCTTGATCCTTCTTCCGATAGTCAAGGGTGAAACAGGATAATGACATCTTCAAAGCGGTGATTGAAAGGTTGTCAAACTGGCCCGTAACTGCCCCATCAATGTAGAACTGGCCCCAATGCCTATCTCATTCTGTGGGTCATCCACGTATTCATTATAGGCTTCGGTATGCCTCGCCCGTGTTCAACTCACCCACATAGGTCGCTTTTCAGGTGGTGGAGCCATCGGATCATCATTGAAAAAGCAGAAATCCTCATCTGTGAGGCGTGGATCGGTAAGCAATTGCTCCACACAATTCCGAGCACTGAAGCAAATGACTTTATCCGGGCATTGCAATGAGGAAGGACTATCTCCTTTTCAAAAGGTAACTTGTCGTCATGTTGTACCTTTCCTTAAGAATTCGGAGCAGTTTTTTCCTGCTGAGGTAGTCTGGATTCTTTCCCAGCTTTTCGTTGTCCATTGCGACCCAGTTTCCTCCAAAGCCAAGCAAGTACATCATCATAGGTATCCAGAGGTGTCCTTTTCCTACGGAGGATATCCATTAGTTTGACCCCTCGCTTCTCCGAATCGGTTAGCTCGGGTAATTTCTTGCCTTGACACAGTAGGCTCTGAATGCGTTTATGTGCTTTCGTCTGGGGGGCCGGTATCATCCAAGTCCTCTTGTTTGTCACCTTGCAATGTGGCAACTGACCCTTCCAAACTGAGCTCACTGTCCTCACCTCATTGGTAGGCTCACTATCCGATTCCGCGTTGAAACGATCAATTGTTGGTAGGGAAATCACCATCCTCATCTTGCTCCCCATTTCCTTCCCATCGGCACCCTTTTTGTTTCCGATTCGAGGATTTGCTGCAGAGGTTTCGATGGTCTGGTCTTCTTTGGAACCCCACTACCTTGGAGTGAGGCCCTGGCATGGGCATCCTCGTCCTGCAATCCTTTGTGGAATGGCTGCCCTGGAATCTTGTCTCTTGCTGCCTTTTTGGTGCTTTTGCGGGCAACCGGTGTCAGTGAGACCAAGCTGATCAGCTCTGGCCCTTGATCTTTCTGTTCTAGCACCTATAGGATTGAAGCAAGGTCCAAACCAAGGCTTTCTGCATCAGTTGGTGCAGCGCTTGTTCTGTTGCATTGAGATTGCTGATATCCCACAGATTTGAATTTTTTATTGCAGTAAGGGCACTCAAACTCCTTCTTTGATGATGCCATGGCTGCAAGCTAGCTAGCCAACTAGCTGCTACTAGTACTGCTAGGCGCACTGGGGTGATTTGGATTCTGTGTGCTGGGGAACCGCCCGCTTACCAATCGGGATATAGTTTATGGTACCAAAGAGAGGGTTTGCCTTCCCGAAAAGACGGTCCAAAAAGTGGATCCCAAATCGTGAAGCAGGCAGTCTTGCCGGGCGGGCCTTCGTTGCATGCCATGTGGAACACACAATCCCGATTCCAATCACTGCACGCATTCTTGGAAGAAATTACGTCACGGATCGGGATCGTGCTGGTTGGCGTTTGGTACCTGCACGCATGTCGATTCTAGCACTACCTAAAAATGCGCTTCTTAGATGTACTTCTGTTGCAATGCCCATTGTGTGGGTGATCACGTACTGCTGCCGGTTCAAAGCTGTAATAGTTTCCAGCTGAAGTTTCAACTGGACCTTCACCATCAGTCTTCTTCACTGTGTGAAAGTTCTTTCCATCCATTGAAATTGAAATTCGCAGCTTGCAGTACTTTCGCCCAGCCGCTGTGAAGCAAGAAAACAGCAAAATGATCAGAAGGAATTCCTGAGCTCCCTGTACCAAAGGTGCACTACTGACTATAGCTTACTGCAATAATAAAACCAGACCCTGACAGCTACAGAGGCAGAACAACCAAAACCAAAAAAATGAGATGACATCTGGGAGCTAGACACAAACAACATTGGCAGGCAGCAATTAACAAACCTTCAAGCATGGCAGGTCGTCCAAGGTCGACAGTGAGATAGGGAAGGTCACTCTCTTGTGGGAAGTTTGTAGCGCATGTGTTTGTTGGTGTTGTGGGAGTGCGGTCAATCCACGCGTGTTCGGCCCATTTGTCACAGCTGTTGAGACCATCAATGACTCTCTGTGGAAGGATCCCTGTTGGCCATTGCACATTGGAGGACAGCTCCACATTGGCCCAGTCCAACGGAAGTTCCTTGACATACCTGCCATTCATCTTTTTCTCTGTAAAGTGATTATCATTTGCTACTGACGCATCAGAGCCACCCAACCCATGCCTTACAAACATTGCATCCATGGGTTCAAACTGAATGGTGTAACCCAAGGCTGTCTCTGAAAACCCATAGCCTTGTCCTGTTGAGTAGACTGCATCGTTGCGTTTGCGGCAACAGCGGCAGTTGTCGTGAGTTAGCAAGCCATAAAAAGGCAATCCATGGGTCCATGCAACCTAGTGTCGTCACTTACCCTTCTGCCAAGTGGACCCATCAGTCGAGAGTTCCACCCACTGCGGTTCAACCGTATCGTGAACGCCAATGAGCACTACATGAGAGAAGTCGTTGGCACCGCACTCAGTCGAGGGTCACCTCCCTTACCTGATTGCAGTAAGCTCGACCATCTGTTCTCCGGGGGAGCTAAACCATTAGAAATCGGCACAGCTTGATCCAATTCCGTATCTGGTACAGTACCACACTTACCGTGATAATAGTGAAACAAAGTCACACCTACAGAAAAAGAGGAGTTCTTGAGTCGGAGAGACCACGGAAGAAGATGCCCCAACAGATTGAATCACGTACTATCAAGAATAGCCAAGTGAGGCAGTTCCACGGTGACCCATGCTGGATTGGTGCACGACACCGATGCCGCTCCTACAGATTTCTTGTATGCAAATTGTGAGATATCCCCATCAAAAAGGCCACCAGTGTGCTGTAAACTCCAAGTCTTTCCAGCCTCAAGTTGGACTGTCGACTGTGACAAGTCCAGCTCATTTCTGTATTCGCCATAGGCTTTCATCTCAATGCTTTCGGTGCCATGAAGTTGTGAGAAGCGGGGAACACAAATTGTTCACAACCAAACAATACCATAATAACTTACAAGTGAACATATTCATTGTCAGTGTTGCGGCCCAAGTAATGGCGCACGTATCGGGCCTGAACATAAAAAACCAGGTTGGAGCTGAGATGAATTCCAGGCAGTGCATGGACCCCGATGTTAGAGAATCTCGGCACTCACCAAAGCTGGACGAAATTGTACTGTGTTCCCACCGCTGCTTTCAGATGCCCACCAGCTAGCACCTGTGTTGAGCACTGCAGGAGTGGATTAAGGGTGTCAGATCTACCTCGAGTCAGTTGTAGCCTACAGCGAGCATTGGTTTCTCACCAGTTTGCCAGTTCTCGCCATCTATGCTCAATTGCAAGCGCTGGTTGCAATAACGGCGATATGTTTCAGTCGCGTTCCCTACATCGTTCCACCATTTGAAAAGCGTGATTGCTGAAGAGTTTTAAAAAAAGTGATGGAATGGACAGCGGAGTGAGAAGAGAACAAGAACGTTAACATTCAAAACTCATCCCACATCCCACCATGCATTCGCTTACCATCCAACCTTGCAACTTTCCCAATATCGACGGTGATGTAGGGGACATTGTCGGGAGAGCCGCAAGTATCCGTGTAGTTGGTGCCAATTGTTGGCGCCCCCGCCCAACTATCGCGTTCGGTAATTCCATCAATGAAGCCCCCTGCGTGCTGGGGATTGGCCCACTCGAAGGGGCCGAGAATGGCTTTGGCACTATTCAAATTGAGCAGCTTCAGGTCCTTACCGTATACACGAATTTTTGCCCAGTGGATTCCATTGTTCTTGTCACTTCTGCCCTTCGCGTACCTAATGAATCTAGTCGCAATGGGAGGAAACCGAACTGTAATCCCAGCGCTTGTCTCGACTGGTCCCCATGTCGGACCAGTGTCATAGACTATGAACAAAATTAGGTCAAGCCAAGACGTTAGCTCTGGTCAAGTTAGAATAGTAGACAAAGTACAAGAAGCAACAACAACGTACCAACCGTCCAGTATATACCATCCGTGCTGCAGTGACGCGAAAAAGATTTAGTCCGGTATATAAGGGGGTTTAGAGTAGGGAAATTATCTTTTAGTCGTGGCTCTTCCATCACAAAAGACAACGTACCTTGCGTGTAGTTTGATAGCAGTACCGGCGAGCGTCATCCCAATAACTGTGGAGTTCTAAACCATGGACCATCTTGACTGTACCAAGGTCGATCTGTACCCATGGTCGGACGATATGCACCTTATTCGCAGCTGTGCAACCAGTGTAGCCAGATTTAATCGTAGTGGTGGTATGATCATAAGCACTCAAGGGGTGATCGTACGCAGTCACCGCATTATCATTCACCCAGGAGTCGTAATCTCTGGTGAGCCAATATTCTTTAAGATGGATACCTGGCGAAGTTTCCTTGTTACATGATGTCAAAGCGAGCTTGTCGCTGGCAGCAAGGGGCACCTATAGTCCAATCCGGACCAAAACAGCACGGAAGAGAGTTCAAGAATCATCAAGTGAGACGCTTGCTTCCAGCACACAACGGTTGACTAAAGACTAAAGATCGACACGATAGCTACTCACATCATAGGCTTAGTAGTCTCCGTACATCTTTTCTTCGTGAAGCTTTCGGCTCTGATGGCCCGAAGAGCCGCGAAAGGAAACCTTGGGATGCACATCTTCCATGGCTTCCATAAACGCGCCGTCTTCAATCGTTCCTGTTTCGAGAAAGGACTCTTCCTCGTCCTCGTCGTGATTCTTGTGGATCCAATTGCTCGCTTCGTGCACCAGCGACTTGACTCCTTCCCATGAACCTTCGAGCGCCTTGCCTCCAACGCCATGTTCACCATCATTTCTACCAGCAGCCATCACAGGATCCGCCAGAAGCATGGCGGTTGCACCAAGCAACCACAAGATCTTCATTGTCACCTCCTTCTTTTGTTTTCGCTTCAGTGGGTTATTTCTCGCTGTCAACAACACACAGTCCTTTGCGTGTCAATCTTCAAACTTTTATGGAACAGATCTCTTTCCAGGTTGACAAAGAATTGGCAGCCCCAAAATTTGCGTACTAGTACGGTACGGTACGACCAATTTACCTTGGCAGTCTTGCTGCCAGAGCCCTCAACCCCTTTAATTGTTTTTCCTGCTATGGTGGTCCCTGCAGGTATAAGGGTAGGGTTAGAATAGAAATAAGTCAGCAAAAACTTTTAAAATAAGTATCCTAGTAGGATGGTGCTTTTAAACCAGCTAAAGCTATTTACATGCATCCTAGCAGGGGGATCTGCTTCTACCAGGAAAAACTCTAAAGCCAGCGAATGCTATATGACTAGTATTCTAGCTAGCTAGGGGTATCTGCTTCTAGCTTGCTATGGAAATCTGTGTCTAGCTAGGGGGAATCTGCTTCTAGCTAGCTAAGTGCAAGTTAAGCACTAGCTAAGCACTAGAGGTATCTGCTTCTAGCTAGCTAGATAGGGGTATCTGCTTCTACACTGAAACCTTTCTGCCGAGGTTACACAGCTCCGCTGGCTTAACCCGCAATAACGTGAGGCGTTCGTTGGATACTGGTACTGGTGTACTGTACGTTCGGGCCTTCCATGGGTCATGGGTCACATTGGCCAGGGTTACGTTCAAGGGATTGTAACCAGGGAGCAGTATTAACAAAACAGATTTTAGTGCCCCCAAAACAGGTACTAGCTAGCTAGACCTACCGGTACTCGAGTATTGAGTACGATACTGGAAAAGCTACATGTAGAACTGGTAGATTTACCATCAACAGCTCATGAACCATGAGCTACCGGTAGATACAGTACTGTACGTCGAGCTACCTGTACCAGGTCCCAGTACACAGTACACGCAGCACGTCCATTGGGGAACCAAGACCTAGTACTGGACCTCTGTGGAAAGTCGAGTCGTGCTACTTTTCGTCTCCTAAATCCTTTTGATTGTCTCCTATTTAATGGATTTCGTCTCCTAAAAATAGGAGACGAAACGGATCGTCTCTTAAATCTTTTGTCTCCTCTTAATTAAAACGTCTCCTATTTTCAATGAATCGTCTCCTATTCTCAACGGATCGTCTCCTAAGTGTACCATGTAAACTGTATGGTATCGTCTCCTAAATCTTTCGGATCGTCTCCTATTTCGAAACGATCGTCTCCTAATTGGAATGTCTCCTACTGAATCGTCTCCTAAATATAGGAGACGATTGCTTTCGTCTCTTAAATCATTTCGATCGTCTCCTATTCCTCGGTGTATCGTCTCCTAAGTATTTTGCCACGAATGACGTTTCCACAGAGGTCCAGTATCGAAGAAGCAAGTCGGTCAGTGCCCCCAAAACATCGTACTACTCGAGTACTGTAGCTATGCATACATGTAGTACTGGTATACCATGAGCTACGGTACAGGATGACTTTATTTACCGCTGACAGGTGTCAAAATGTGAGCGTTTTGACAGTTATTTTTCGGTTTTCGGAAATGGGAATCCGGAAGTGGTCATTTCGTGAATCCTGCATTGAAATGAGTAGTTGGAATAAAGAAAAGATTGAAGCTAATAAAATGAATTTTATCACCATGGCAACAGTGGTGACCAAATGGCTATTAGCTTTACCAATACATTGAGATAGCTAATGCTTTCAGAGGAGTATCTCCCCAACACACTCACAGACACTCCTCTTCAAAAGCATTAGCTATCTCCAAGGTTTGTCATGGAGCCTCTCTAAAAAACAGGCTTGGATTGCATTTTGTTGTCATTTTGCCATGCATTTCTCCATGGGAAAGGTGCTCCTGTCCTCACTCTCAGCACCCAATCTACACTGTAACGTATGGTAGAGGAGTGGATGGCTTTGCATGAAGACTGGAGGACCCATCCCAAAGTTTCAAAGAGGATTGTTGGCTTGATGGGGAAAAAAATGCAGATTCAGTCTTTTGTTTTCAATCGACCACTCAGCACAGTCGTAGAGTAGATGCAGCTTGTTCCTTTTGTAGTAGTAGCAGTAGCAGAGACTTCACGGCCGATGGCCGATCCATGGAGAAGACTCGACTCGCTCCGTGGATTCAATCATCCCCCAAAAGCTGTAAGCGATCCGGAGAAGTTTTCGATGCTTTCGCTTGTTGTTACACTAGTAGTAGTCGCTTGTTGTTGCCTTCGCGGTCGAGGCTTCGATCGTCTCTCTGTGGAAGAGGAGGCGCCATGGTCGCTCCGATCGATCGGTCGCTCCGCGGAAGAAGAAGAAAGAAGACATCAACCAGCCGACGAATCGATGTCGTCGACCAATCCGTAGTACGAAAGAACGGCCGCCGCTGCCGTTAACCAAACGAGAGGAGCCTGTCATGGTGGTGAGTAGTAGCCTTCATCATTGCCCACCATGGTTTTGGCGAGGCAGCCACTGCTTACCACTGTCTACCACTGTCTACCACTGTTTACGGCTAGCTTTACAACTAGCTCTACCGCTGTTTACCGCTATCTTTACCGCTGTTTAGCACTAGCTTACCGCTATCTTACCACTGGTACCAGTGTCAACCGCTGTCAACCACTGTTTACCACTGTGGAGCGGCAAGGATCCACAATGAATAGCACTGGATTTCTCCACCCCCCAGCTCGTCAAGCTACATGTAACTGTACAAGGTACACAGTACACACAATATAGTAGGACCAAGTAAGTATCGAACAGGGTTGTGGAATAGGATGTTGGCGGTTACACGTTACAGCTAGGGTTCCGGTCATAAAAGGTTCCGGTTACGTAACCGTAACCGTAACCTTTTAGATTTTCATAACCGGTTCTGGAACCGTAACCGTAACCTTTTAGATTTTCCTATATGGGTCCGTAACCGTAACCGTAACTATTAAAGCCCCGAAATACCTAGTTACGGTTATGGTTACGCTATCCGGTTACGCTCTGTCGTTTTTTCTTCGAAAAGCTCATAAATGTGGCTAGTGTGGAGCACTCTATAGTGCCTAGCATGAAAGAGATATTTGAAGTAACTTCTTATATATATAAATGAACAATCGGAATGTTGGGGCGGGCATACTGAATAGTTCTGGTGGTTCCAAGGTGTGCAATTTGGTCCAAAAATGGTCATTACTGCCTTCAAAATGGGGTGATATTATTCTGTTCGAGGTATTGGAACCTAGCTGGGGTGGATGGTGTTGAATTCTCTTGTTCTTGGAGGTAAAAGGAGATAAACTTTCATGGGGTGGGACTGCTCTGCTTCTACCGATGGTGTCTGTATACTCTACGCGCTGTTATGCTACTGTAGCAAATGTTAGTAAAAAGTGTCAGATTGCAAGTGTGGAGCATTTTACAGTGCATGGCATGAAGATGATAGATGAAGTAACTCCTTCTATATAAAAATAAGCAATCTAGATGGTGGGACTGGCACCAGAACTTTATTGGGTGACTCTTTGGTACACGACTTGGTCCAAAAATGTCGTTATTGCTTCCAGAAGGTGATATTTGGCTGTTCAATGTATTGGGGCCTGTCTAGGGTGGATGGTATTGAATTCTCTTGTTGTTGGGGGTAAAAGGAGATTAAATTTCATGGAGTGGAACTGCTCTGCTTCTACCGATGGTGTCTGTATACTCTACGAGTTGTTGTTTTACTAGCATGGAGCTCTAAGGATACAATAACAACCAGTTGGCCAAACCATGAGGTTAGCAGGGGCACATGAACATTGCTCCTATAGGAGACTGCCTCCTTACATAGTATAGAAATATAGAATACATAGCCATCCAGGCCATGTAGCCACTGGTACCCTAATTTGCCCTATATGACCCTATTTTAACAGGGTATCGCTCAAATGCAAAGCAATGAGCTGTCACAGAAGCTATCCTAGAAGCCCTAGAGTCAGTCCCAGCATCCAGATTGTTCATCTATACATATAAGAAGTTAGTTCAACTATCTCTTCCATGACATGCACCCCAACAACGGCTTGGTAGATGCCGTGTTCGATGTTTTGCCATAGCCACTATGCGTAACAGTTGATGGCGATACCACATGGAACCTTAGAAGTGGCCTATGAACATTCCTCCCATAGAAGATTAGCTCCTAATATAGTATAGAAACATGGAATACAACAATATCCAGGACAGGTAGGCTCTGATACCTCGAACCACCTGATATAACCCCGTTTTGACAGTGTATTGCCCCAATTCGAGCTCACACCATAGAAGCTATCTCACAAGTCCCAGACTCAGTCTCAGCATCTAGATTGTCCATCTATACATATAAGAAGTTAGTTCAACTATCACTTCAATGCCATGAACCTCAACAGCTTGATAGATGCCATGTTCGATGTTTTGCTAGCAACAACACAGTTTATAACCGTTTAGGGAACCATTTATGGAACCGCTATGTAACCGGAACCGTAACCGGAACTGTAACCACTTAGATTTAAAACTAAGCGGTTCCACAACCCTGGTATCGAAGAAGGAAGTCGGTCATAAACGCGGATCGGTAGTCCAGCTCTACTACACATTACACGCAGCACGTGCATTGGGGGACCACGACCCAGTACCGAAGAAGCAAAGTTGGTCATAAACTCGGACCGGCTCTAGTACACAGTACAAGCAGTACGTGCATTGGGGGGCCACGACCGATTGCCAAAGAAGCAAGTCGGTCATAAACACGAACCAGTAGTCCAGCTCTACGAGAGAGGAGAACAAGCCTTTTAAATTAAAAAATTCAAGGAAACGAATTACTTAACGAAGTAAATACAATACATCCTTGTCTTTTTTAAATAGACCATTAACCAGTGACCAGAACATAAATTGTGACCAGTGTCGAACTTACATATTACTTTGTACGGCTGAAGACTACTAAGTAAGTAGTGCCCAGTGCCCAGTGCCCAGGTACATGTACCAATACAATAAAATAGTAGTGACCAGTGAGGAGTACCGTACGTCTGGTTGGTTTAGCCAAGTAAAAAAGGGGTTGTTCGATTAGTTTAGAATAAAATTTGAAATTACGAATGTTGAAACATTTCACCTGTGGAGTGTGTATACCATAGAAAGCTTCCCACCTAGCTAGCAATATGGGTGTTCTAGAAACCCTATTACATGTAATAACACCAAGATATTAGACAGTTCTGAGTTCTCCAAAAGAGTTGATATCATTCCAAGCAAATTTTTGAAAAGGTTGAATTTTGGCTGAGGTGCCGGCATCTATTATAGCTAGATACCGTATGGGGACTTGGGGTACGACTGTACATGGTAGCAAAAAAAGGGGATCCATGGGGCGGGCTGTGGGAGACCAGGGATGGTCCAAATCAAAAATAGCCTTTTCATGCGGTGCTAGCGAAAAAAGATAGTACTACTGCCCCCACGAAAAGCAAGTTTTGAAAAAATCCATTTTTAATTCAGCAAAATGCTCCCCCAGTTTTCCTACCAAACCAACCAGTATCACCGTACGGTACGGTACCTACGGTACCAAATAATTGATAATTGTTGCCGGTGTCGAAGAATGCTGCTCTGGCCAGTCACACCGTCAATGACTGTCCAAAGGGCAAACCGATCGAGGCAATCAAACCACAAACCACCTTCTTTTCGCGGTTCTCTTTTCTAGTAAGCTTTCTGTCCACGTTCAAGCCACCTTTTCTCACCGGCTCGTGATGCGGAGTGCGAAGTGTGCAGAACGCTCCCTTTTACCAGTCACAACCCACAATGAATGTCCAAATCCAAATGGCCCTATCGAGGCACATTGCTTCCCTTTTACGGACCGCACGAGTAGACTACAAGTACCAGGTACAGCCTCCATGGGACCAGTGTCAATGCAAAGAACGTCGCTGTTACCAGTCACACCCTCAATGAAAGTCCAAAGGGCCAAACCGATTGGAGGCAAATTGCTTCCCTTACGGACTGATCGGTACCGCACGAGAACTAATAGACTACATTACGGTACAGCCAAGTATCCACAAGAAAATATTGGTTCCTCCGTCTGGCCACAAATCAAGGATCGTGTTTTGACGCATCGCTTCTTGCTTTGAGGGAAAACAAAATGATAACTGCGAGATAAATCATTGAAACAAACTACTACTAGTATCACCACGAAGAAGCTATCGCCGCGAAGACGAAAAGCTCAGAAACGGATCATGTTGGTGACTAAAGCTTGGACATTGGCCCTGAGTCTCCTCGTCGTCGCATTGGCTACCACTACGGCGCACGAGGTGAGCCATCAAAACGAAACATCTGAACATGGATCGGTAACCCGTCTCCGGTCGGCTGCTTCTCCGGAGGTCGAAGGCGTTCTGAAGCACTACCCGTTCAGTAGTACCGCTTTGGACACAAATCTCATGGATTCTCTCCAAGATAAAGTCCACGAAGCCCTCGCTGGCACCGGCCTTCCGAACAGCGTAGCTCCCGGTGAACTTGATATTGCCAAGACAACCCCCAACTTTGGGGCCAAGTGCAATTCTCTGCTTAAATTGTTCCACCGGAACGAAGAGAAGGGAGAATATACTATCCACAAGAGTGCTACATGGAGGGATGTCTGCCGAGCTGAAGGATCCACGCGCTATCTGAAGGTATCAGAGGTTGAATCAAAGCTTGGAAAGGTAATTGCCATTGTGTGCTCGCCAGTACAGTTCTTATATCCGTATGCCATACCTTCACCATTCCCCAATGCCTCATCATTTCCCGAATTGTTCTCAGGCTGTGGCTGACCATGTGTTTGAAGATCTTGTCATGTGTACTTCCAACATCGACAGGGATTATCTAACTTTTTTTACCGCGGACAGTGCCGCCCGCGTCCCAACTGCAGTCAATGTAAGACTGCGTTCATATGTCTCCCTGTGTTGCTGCTACCTTCAATATGCTCAATCTCTTGCTTTCTGGACAGCCCGATGCTCTGGACAAACACGGAAAGCTCATGAATGTCCAGAAGCCCTAGTACAACTATGAAATTGTTAGTAAGTTGACAAGTTCAAGCTGGATGTCGCTTTCATTCTTTCTCAAGCTTCTTCTTTTTTAAAGACGTTTTTGAGACCATTACTCGAGAGCAAACACGAAAGTCACTTAATGCAAAACCACAATCATCGCTCTTTAGCGAAACTTGTAAGTCACAAGTTAACTCATACTACAAGGACAGGATGATCAACAAGTTCCAGCCATATATTTTTGAAGGATCATTGACAAGGTCATACCCAGAGCTACAATTGGATTGTGCCACAACCTCCATTACCAACCAGTGGAGTTGCAGCGTGATTGCAGGAAGCCAGATCTTATGTGCTGGCCTATCCATCACATCCAGCGCCTGTCCTGCCACATCAATTTATGGTACCAGTGGCTGTTACCATGCTTACCCAATCAATTCAGTGTTTGCGGGGGTAATGGACAAGGACCTGGCAGCTGAAATACTGCTTGGATCTCAGGTGTCTAATGGATTGGCATGTGCACACAAGACACCTCCTGGGTTCTGTTGTTTGGACTCGCCTGGCCACCATCCTGGAGTGGATTCCTGGGGAGGCGAGGTAGGCCACATGTGTATCCAAAGGAAACAAGCCGTTCCGGAGTCTGCTGCTGAGTAGCTCACTAGTCTTTTCCTGTTTCACACAGTTTGACTGCAGTTTGGGAGTAGCAACTTGTGGGTAAGTTTAACTTTTCCCGCTTTGAAGCTGTGTGCTTGGATGTTTACTAACTTGCACTTCTTGACAAATGAAACCCATAGAAAGCTTGGCCCCCCTCTTTCAGGTTTCAGTCAGGAATCATGTGATGTTGTCTCTGGAACTTACTGCATGTATGATCGAGACTGCTCGGCCCTTAAGAAGTGCATTGGAGATGAGATGAAATGTCCTTCAGATCAGACCCCCAAGAAGTTTGCTTACTTTGACTTCCTGGATTCTTGCCCAAAGATCACTCAGCCACTCAACCATGCAAACTGTGCAGAGGCACGAGAATACTTGGGGTTTGATGGGGTAAGCTTCAGGTTTTGAGCAAGTTCTCGAGAGCTGGGCACCATGCACACTCACCCTTACAAAATGCAACTCTTTATTGTGCCAAGGACTACCCCAATGATATGGAAATATGTGAAGATGCAAAGCTATTGAGGTTCAACCGGAACTTTGATGCTGTGAATGCTTTTGCAACTGCTGATCCAGCTCCGGATCCAACCCTTGCCCCAACTCAGGAAGCAGCTACTGCAGCACCCGTGGCCGCAGGTATGAGCCTATAATCCTGCCCTGTGCCTTCTGCCCGACAGCCTGAAACTTATAGTTCTTCATATTTGCAACCTCATGTGACTTGCAAGAGGTGTCCCCCTGGACTACGTATGATCGGATGGGAGCACTGAAGCCACACGAATCAAGTATGCTTATTGTATTCTTCGTCCACTGAGGTTGCTACATTCTTGTTCTCACACGCTACATTTTGTTTGGGTTCTACAAGTTGGAAAAAGTTCCAATGCCATTACAGATTATCAGCAGGCTCTATTTGGCCTAGAAGTCATCATCGAGACAATCAACTCAATTTTTGAAATCCTGGGAGACATGGGTAAGCACAAAAATGAAAATAGACAGGTTGATTTTGCCGCTGATTGCAATTGCACTACGCTAAAAGCTAGTGTAAAGATCTTTCGAGTGTTTTGAGTTTGAGAGAATGAAAGTTATGAGAGGATTAGAAAGCTATGAAAACTAATCAACGAGAGAGATCCACAATCAAAGGATCGTAGATCTGAACTCCCGCGGGAGACTGTAGAGTGTGATAAAATAAATTGCGGTAGCAATCCTACTCACTCCACGATCCAAAAACGGAACGCGTGGAAGATTCGTCTAGCATTTATCTAGTAGCGTGGAAGTACTCCACGCTGGCTAAATATCTAGAGCGATGTTTCATCATCAACCTAGTATGACTAGAGCGGTCATTGAGAACCCTGTCTCCAATGACTATTCGCGAAGGACTATGTCATGAGTCGAACTCAGACCCTATCTAGGATCGAGTCGCGAATAAGGCTAAGAGCCGTGTATTGCATTCGCCCCCTGACAAGGGTCACGGAAGGCACGACATCAGTCGGACAAGGAGAACATATGAATTAAAGTGCGGGGCAACTCTCCGGAGATTGGATGTAGACATGTGCGTCGCACGATGCAATCCTACAAGGGGATCAGGCCTTGTATGGGTGTAATATCCTTTTGTTCCAAGTCTGGTAGACGTGCCGCTACTGGCGGTAGTATGTCGGAGCGTCAGTGCCATTGTTATTGCATCGGTCTGTGTGGTAAGGACCTTTGCGTTGGCTGACCGTACTAACGGTTTGATACTGATGAATGACTTCATAGTGACGTTGCGTGTTTTGGGTACACGTCCGTTTCTCTTCTTATAAGTGTTCGCGATATGCTTTGGACGTTTCCTATTGATTTCCGGGTTTGCTTTGACGGATGTGGTGAGTCTTGCCACGATTGACGCGCGTGAACTTGCGACGAAGTCCATGTTCATCCCGGAGAGTCTTCTCGACTCTACGCGGGACTCACGTTCTCTGTCCATAACAACCGGTCATGGATACTGGGTAACCAACGTCTGTTTCAGAACGATGGTTTCTCCGTCTGCTGTCTTGGAGCAGCCCTTGGTAGTTCATTGGTCCAATGAATCAACGAAGTTCCTCCTGTTGGTGAAGAGCGATAGCTGGATCAGCATCTGTTATCTTTTTAGTTAAGAGTTGGCTTCCTTCTCGAGAAGTCCAATTGTCTAGATATCCAGTTCTTCCTATCGAGGAAGGCCTTGGTAGTGTTGATTTAATCCGACTTTTTGAGTCTTTGGAAAAGGTCATCCTACTGTTCGACGCGATCTGCGAGATCGACGTCCGTTAGGATGAGTTTATCATCAATGTATCACGGACATTTTCCAGTCATGCATGCGTGTTTTCATCTCCTTTGGAAGATGTCGGGACTATTACATAGGCCCATTGGCAACCTCTGGTACTCGTGCTTTCCCCAAGGGAGTGCAATGGTATAGTGTTGCTTCGAGTGAGGTTGACAGCTGATGTGGTAGTGTCCCGGTTTCAGGTCTAGACTGGTAGCGCACTTGAATCATCTAGGTTCAAGAGCATGTCTGTATTTTTGGATAGGAAAGCTTCCGCTTAATCGTTGTTCGGTTCCGAAAATCAGATGAATCGTCAGATTCTTCTTTCTTGGGAATGAAAAAGTTGGTGCCGCCCACTTGGAACGATTCAACCTCTTGAGTACTCCTGTCTCGCAGAGACGTTCAACCTCCATTTTAAGAGTGTTGGTATGACCCGTGGAGTAGGGTGAGCCCTAGTGTAATAGGATTTACGTCGGGACGAGGTTCTACTTCGTAGTTGTCCGTTCGCAACTCTCCCAAAGTATCCTCGACTGGGTCGAAGCATTGGTTGAAAAGCATGAGCAGTTCTTGCTCTTCCTTATTTAACGGATTTGACTCTGGAATATCTGCCTTAAGTCTATTTGTTCGTATGTCGTATAAGAATCTTCTTGAGACTATCTGCATTGTCCTGACAGCTGCAGAATCGAAAATGGAGAAGTTCTCCTTTCTATTGGTATTGCCTCTTTCGCCGGGAAAAATGCGTGGTTCCACCCCAATGACATGGTAGTGAAATCAAACTTGATTTTAGGTCGAGAGAGTGTCTTGACCTATGATCACGTCTTGCGCCCCCAAGTTCTTGGTGACGTGTAAAATCCATTGATAATTCTATCATCGTGGAACTCAGGAATCGCGAGTTGCCCTTACACTTCGTGCGGGTTTCAATTCCTTTACAGAAGCAGTCCGTGTTTTGGACGCCCCATGATTCTTCATGAGTAAACTCTTAGCATGAGTTTGAGTAATTAAAGTTCCGGATGCTTCTGTATCCAGTAAGCAACAGAGTGTAACGGGTTTTCGTTTCCCTTTCGCTCGCTTTTAAATCTAACATAGACGATAGTTTGAGGTCTTTGTCTTGCGACGTTGATGAGTTGATTGGCCATGACGAAGTTAACGATGCTGAAAAGATCGTGTGTCTAGTTGAGTAGTTATAGGCAATTATCTAATTTGCCGTAGCCTTCGTTAGTTGCAAACAAATCTTGTTTACTATTTAGTGAGATATCTTCATCACTTAGGAATGAGAAATCGGAACATGGTTCCGTTGAATCATCACCTGGCCTAATCCTCAGACGGAGATCTTCTCCATCCGATTGATTGAAGTCGAATTCGGCAAGCGCCTTGTCGACAGCAGCCATCTTTCTTGTCCATCATGTTGATGGATCCAACAGAGGAGTCGTCCTTGTTGTCGGAGTGTCGATTGCGCTTGGCAAAATGGTTGCATTCGCTTTTCTTCTTGGATCAGCCTTGACCGCAGCGTTGGAAACTTTCTTCATGAGGACAGAGAGTTCCTTCTTGGTGTAGGTCTTGGCGTCGTCGACTTGCGTTTCCAAGTCTTGTTCTTGTTGTACGCGGCTTGTTATCGTTGTCAGACGAGGACTGAGACTTGGCCTTGAGCTTCTTCAGAGTCATGCAGTCAGCAGTGTGTGAGTGCTGGACTCGGGGTAGTCACACCATTTTTCTTCGTTCTTGTAAGAGTGGTCGTTGTTGAGTAGACTTGTACTTCTTGCTGTTTTTCTTCTTCGAAGGAGCTTGCTTGGTATCACCGCCCTTGTCAAAGTCTTTGGAGATTCCATGCGTTCGCAGAATCCAATGGTGCACCATCTGCAGATAAGGGATCGAAGTCGTGTTCGTCTCTTCTTCATCCACGAGCGTGGAATTCCATGACAAACAATGTCAATGACTTCGTCATGGTTCAACGTTTGGTTGGTTCCAAAAGTGTGGTAGACGAGGAAGTTCATCGGCTTCATCCGACTGAGGTTGTTGACATAAGCCGAGTAGACATATCAGCAGGCTTACGCATCTTGCGGCGCATGAAAGCGTTTCTGCTTTTCAAGAGCCTTGTAGGGACAGACCGCTTCGACACAGGCATTTATGCCGAAACGTAATGTCAGTGTCGTCCAAAGCAGGCTGAGCTGCTCCGTCCAGGCATTCTGGAACGTGCTTGGAAAGTGGCTTCGTCTTCACCCACCGTATGTCGCGTGGAGGAATCGCGTTGACTGAATCTGGCGCAAGGCATTCCAACGTAGTTCACGTGGCCTGCAAGCTAGATCGTAACTGCTCTTGCAGAGCTAGAAGTCATCTCCTTGAGGAGTTATGTTTATCGGTAGGCGTAGCAATGGCGAGCCCAACGAAGACCATTCTCCATGCGTCCAGCCCACTTGATGATCTGACGTGGAGTCTCAGATCCATTGATGATCTGGACCTTGAAGGTGTACTTGGCGTTTTAGCATCTGCTGGAACAGTCGAAGTTTGTAGGTGGTAGAGCGAGAATCGTCGATTTCGCATTCAATCGTGAGGTCGATGAGAGGGAAGGATTGGTTTGTCGCGCAGCTTAGACTCGAAGCTGGTGTAAGCGTCTTTGGCAATCTTCATGGTGAGGAATAGGTTGAGGGTAGCTGAAAGCTATTGTGTTTGTTAACAAAATGCAACTACGCTAAAAGCTAGTGTTAAAGATCTTTCGAGTGTTTTGAGTTTGAGAGAATGAAAGTTATGAGAGGATTAGAAAGCTATGAAAACTAATCAACGAGAGAGTCCACAATCAAAGGATCGTAGATCTGAACTCCCGGGAGACTGTAGAGTGTGAATAGTAGGTTGCGGTAGCAATCCTACTCACTCCACGATCCAAAAACGAACGCGTGGAAGATTCGTCTAGCATTTATCTAGTAGCGTGGAAGTACTCCACGCTGGCTAAATATCTAGAGCGATGTTTCATCATCAACCTAGTATGACTAGAGCGGTCATGAGAACCTGTCTCCAATGACTATTCGCGAAGGACTACGTCATGAGTCGAACTCAGACCCTATCTAGGATCGAGTCGCGAATAAGGCTAAGAGCCGTGTATTGCACAATGCATTCTCATGTCTGTTTGCCACTTTCATTCCCAGATTGCCCTGCGGTACCAGAGATGGTGGTTTACATCAAGACAGCGTGTGATTTGGTTTCAAGCTTGGTGGTAGCTGTGGCTGGTGCAATTTACCTAATTGCACGCCAGGTAAGAAATGGAGGTGACCTCTTGATTATATTTACGTGCCTACTTTCATCTCACCAGTAACATTTTGCATATGTGGCAGATCTTGGATGGACTTCATTTCGATTATGCATGGAACTACAACATTAACGAATACATGGTTTAGGATGAACATGTGAAGGCTACTGCATCCTATGACAATATTAACAAACTGTATGTTGGCATCCAAAATATCCTGAACCAGAATGAAATATATACCAATGCGCTGGTGACAAACCTTGAGGACATGTACACAACTGAAAAGCAAGTCTTGTCACAAGCTAAGTCAAACCACCAGAACCTTGTCAACATTCTTGGCAAGGCCAATGACATCCCCAATGTCTTGGCCTGGGTTGAGACAACTATCCCAGATCGCATGAAATTGACCGATGACCAGATTGCTATTATGCATCAAGACGGATGTCGACGACACGCTTGCCAGGGTGAAGAGAATTGAGACTGCTGTGGCTACACCAGGTGCTCGAAGGTTATGGAAGGAAGAAGAAAACTCCAATGACTCCAACAATGAGCAAACGTTGCAGATTGCAGTTCCCTTAGGCGTTGGCTTCATGGGCCATGATGGGAACTACAGGGTTGAAGACAGATCATTCCATGATGAGGAGGTAGCCTTGGCGTTTCTCCGTGATACTCTTCGAGTCCAAAGAGGCTTTTCGTCCAGCAATACTGCTGACTTGGCCCTCTCTGTGGTAGAGCGCACTCAATGTGCACTCGTAGTGAATGCCATTCCTGTCCACTCAGGAACAGATGAGCAGAGACCTGAAAATGCAGCAAAGTTTCGATTGAATGTGTGGCAAGAGAGAGCTCAGCTGAAATGTGGCTTTGCTGCCACAACCACAAGTGAAGACAAGAAGACTCTTTTTGTTGCAGAAGGGGAGAAAAAGATTGACACAGGTGTCTACTTTGAGCTCGAGGTGAGTATAATGACTGGAACTAGTGATGTCTGCCGTTCGTTTTGCTGACTTTAGTCCCTGTCATGTTCAATGCAGGATCCCTGTATTGACTTCTCCTTTGTTGAAGTTGATGTCTACAGCAATGAATTCGAGGAAAGGAATCCAGTGATCACGGGGAAAGCAGCTGGCCACAAATTTGAGAAAGCCAAGGTTTTTGTTTCACCCCAAAAGTAAGTAATTGTCCTTTGTGGATCTGCCTCGGGCCTTTCTCATTCTCGTGATTCTCTCTCTAACGCTCTCTGTCTCTCTCTAACTCTCGTGTAGGTGCATGAATGGAGGAGAGTCCCTTTGTGTCGCTGACAGTTCTGGCACCAGAATCTATGACATTAGTTTCAGTGCCACTGAATCCGAAGGTTCTGCCCTTCACGATAGCTGCCGTGTGGTTGTCTTGGAAAAGGACCAATACAATCGTGCGCTCAAGGGACACTTGGCTCCCCACCTTTCAGAGGCAAAACAACAGGAACTTGAGGATTCTTCAAGTGAAAAATTCGTTGTCGGGAGCATCAAGCTCTGTCGCAGCAAGCATCCAAAGTAAGCTTGCCTCGTTGTAATCATCCGTCTCGAGCTCTCTGGCTAGGATCGGAGTACGGTAGTAACTCCCAAACAACCTAATATCTTTTGAGAATAGTTGTCTCCTTTTATCAGTGGCCAGTGTATGACGAACTCTATCCCATTCATGGCCAGCACTGTTGTATCGTTCATCATTGTTCCCAGTGCCGGCCCTTCCTTGGGCATCCACCAGAGCCGCGGCAGGTCAAGGTGACAGGGTCAAAAGCTGTTACCCTTCAAACTTTGAACCATCTAGTTATCTGGTACTGGCTAGCTTGGTAGTACCACCATGTAAAGAAATGCTATCATTGGGTAGATGTTACTCAGCTGCCGTTGTTCAGTGCAGCTTGGTCCGGTTCGTGCATTCATCATGGGACACCATCTGCCCTTGCTTTGAAACGTTTATTATCATTCATTCCACGGTACCAGGTAGCCATTACGGCACCGTGCAGGAGTTTGTTGGAGGAGGATGTATTCAATACCTCAATACATTTTATCCATTTATTACCAATTTTGTCCAGTCTACGGGCATCTATGTGCTCAATGCTAGTAGTAGCAGAACATATGGGGAGTTTTAGCAATCTAAATCTTGAGTCACATTCACCCTTATATTTATATGGTTGAACTTGCCCAAATCAATCCCAGAAAAAGATCACTTCTCAGATTCAGATTCAGCTAAACCTAAAACCAAATTACTCCCCAATAAACTGCAGTGTCACCTAGCAATTGCTACCAGACCAACGAAACCACCACACACTACTACCACTGCTCCCTTCCCACCAGCCGTGGACCTTATTACATGCAGCACAGAGTAAGCACCAGCTCGCTTTAAAAAATGTAAACTGATGCAACAGCGAAGGGATAGAGATCATGAGAAGCAAGCACGCAGTGCGCACAGTATGCACCCACAGCAGTTGCCACACCGTAATCCATGATGGATGCACCATGATCCCATTTAGCACTCATTAGAATGTCACCGTGAAAGCCTCTACGACACGAGCTTTTGTATTTTTCCTTACAGTTAAGATAATAAATTCGTTAAGTCCTAGTACCCTTATGGACGCCCTAGAGGTACGAGAAATACCCCTCCGAACGTCCTGGACTGCTCTGTTGACTCAATCAATGCATATATAAAGGAATCAACCCAACCTTCAAATGCAAGTGTTCCTTGTTGGCTAGTTACCTCGTACTAGTGTCCATAAGCTCTCTATATTATACGCATCCTCTTTTTGACTTAGCCATTTCAGAGCACAAGAGGCAACAAACTATAAATCACCACGCCAGCGTCCTTTTAGAGAATTTACACGGAAAGCAGAGCTCTGCTTTATACTCAGCGATGAGATTTCGGGATGGTCTTTCTCACTGAATATTCTCTTTAGATCTTTTCCTCAGAATCTATCTCAGCTGATAGTTAGGCAATAAGGGAGCCTCAACTGACCTTCCTCAGCAGAAGGATGGCTCTCAGTCAAGGACTTGGCTGGTGCAATACACGGCTCTTAGCCTTATTCGCGACTCGATCCTAGATAGGGTTTGAGTTCGACTCATGACTGAGTCTTTCGTGAATAGTCATTGAGACAGGGTTCTCATGACCGCTAGTCATACTAGGTCGATGGTGAAACATCGCGCTAGATATTTAGCTGGCGTGGAGAGATTCCACGCTACTAGATAAATGCTAGACGAATCTTCCACGCGTTCCGTTTTTGGATCGTGGAGTGAGTAGGATTGCTACCGCAACCTACTCTATCACACTCTACAGTCGCCCGCGGGAGTTCAGATCTACGATCCTTCGATGGTGGATCTCTCTCGTTGATTAGTTTTCATAGCTTTCTAATCCTCTCATAACTTTCATTCTCTCAAACTCAAAACACTCGAAAGATCTTTACACCAGCTTTTAGCGTAGTGCATTTTGTTAACAAACACAATAGCTTTCAGCTACCCTCAACCTATTCCTCACCATGAAGATTGCCAAAGACGCGTACACCAGCTTCGAGTCTAAGCTGCGCGACAAAACGAGTTGATGGCCATGACGAAGTTAACGATGCTAAACAGATCGTCAGAGTCTTAGTTGAGAGTTCTAGGCAATTATCTAATTTGCCGTAGACTTCGTAGTTGCAAACAAATCTTGTTTACTATTTAGTGAGATATCTTCATCACTTAGTATGAGAAATCGGAACATGGTTCCGTTGAATCATCATCCTGGCCTAATCCTCAGACGGAGATCTCTCCATCCGAATGATTGAAGTCGAATTCGGCAGAGCGCCTTGTCAGACGGCAGCATTTTCTTGTCCATCATGTTGTGGATCCAACAGAGGAGTCGTCCTGTGTTGTCGGAGTCGTCTGTTGCGCTTGGCAACATGGTTGCATTCGCTTTTCTTCTTGCGATCAGCCTTGACAGCAGCGTTGGAACTTTCTTCATAAGACGAGAGTTCCTTCTTGGTGTAGGTCTTGGCGTCCTCGGACTTGCGTTCCAAGTCTTGTTCTTGTTGTACGCTGGCTGTTATCGTTGTCAGACAAGGACTGAGACTTGGCCTTGAGCTTCTTCAGAGTCATGCAGTCAGCAGTGTTGGAGTGCTGGACTCGTGGTAACACACCACTTTTCTTCGCTTCTGGAAGAGTGGTCGTTGTTGAAGATTGTAACTTTTTCTTGCTGTTGTTCTTCTTCGAAGGAGCTTGCTTGGATCACCGCCCTTGTCAAAGTCTTCGGAGGTTCCATGCGTTCGCAGAATCCAATGGTTTCTCCGATAGGAGCTGAAAAAGATCGAAGTCGTGTTCGTCATCTTCTTCATCCACGAGCGTGGAATTCCATGACAAACAATGTAATGACTTCGTCATGGTTCAACGTTTGGTTGGGTCCAAAAGGTGGTAGACGAGAAGTTCATCGGTGTTCATCCGACTGAGGTTGTTGACATAAGCCCGAGTAGACATATCAGCAGGCTACGCATCTTGCGGCGCATGAAGCGTTTCTGCTTTTCAAGGCCTTGTAGGGACAGACCGCTTCGACACAGGCATTTTGCCGAACGTAATGTCAGTGTCGTCCAAAGCAGGCTGAGCTGCTCCGTCCCAGGCACTGGAAACGTGCTTGGAAAGTGGCTTCGTCTTCACCGCCACGTATGTCGCGTGGAGAATCGCGTTGACTGCAATCTGGCGCAAGCATTCCAACGTATTTCACGATTGGCCTGCACAGCTAGATTCGTAACTGCTCTTGGCAGAGCTAGAAGTCATCTCCTTGAGGAGGTTATGTTTGTCTTCAGGCGTAGCAATGGCGACCACGAAGACTTCTCCATCGTCAGCCCACTTGATGGTTTGACTGGAGTCTCAGATCCATTGATGATTTGGACCTTGAGGTGTACTTGGCGCTGTCAGCACTGCTGGAACAGTGCGAATTTGTAGGTGGTAGAGCGAGAATCGTCGTTTCGCATTCATCGTCGAGGTCGATGAGAGGAAAGATTGG